GGTTGGACTTGATCTCGGAGGACTTTTCCAACCCAGTTGATTCTGTGATTCCATGATTCCTACACCCACCCTGAGGTCAGGGGGTTGCTCTGATGTGTCCTGGAGCAGGTCCGGCATCAACCAGGACCCAGATGAAAGTGCCCAGGTCCTTTGGAGAGCAGGAGTTCACCCCAGTATGGGCAGTACATGTGTCTTTATGGGAACCTGCTGAAATGCCTTCAGGATGGAGGGAGGGCACTAAAAAATGGAGGGTTTGTGGTGTTTGTTTTTTTTTTAAATAGGAAAAAAGTAGCAGTTTCTGTTTTGCTGCTCTCAGCAAGAACCACGTTCCCCAAGTCTCCCCCAGCAGTCACCACTGAGTAGCTGTAATACATAACCACAGTAATCCTTGGTCGTGAACACTGGGTATTTACCCTTCCTAATACTTGAACATTCATTATTAGGAGGTGAATTTTTCAAAACTTTTGCATATTAAAAACTTGAACTTGCTTTTCCCTCCCAGAGCTCACAAACCGAAAGCTGCTCGGGGCGTTGAGCTCTGGCTGCTTGGGTTTTTTTTTTTTTAGCCCTTCTTCATTTTTGCTGTTTAAAAACTTGTCTCCTTGTGACCATGACGACAGTTTTGATTTGCTTTTTTTTTTTCCCCTTCCACATCCCCTTTGAACAGCCACAAACCCACGGAACGTGGGAAAGCTGGGACAGCAAGGAGAAGTAAAACATCCCTGTCCTTTCTGGCCAGCCCAGGGAAGGGGCAAAGGGAAAAAAACTACCACAGACTCAGTAAACCCCCCCGCCCCAAAAAAGATCCCAAGACCAGCACAAGAAGTTTTACAAAATGTGGAAACTTTCCACCAACGTTTGGGCTCAAAAAAGGAAAAAAAAGTGTATTTTTGGTATTTTTTTTCTACTATTTTTAGATGCTCTCTCCCACAGGCAGGAGATAGGGAGACAAAGCCACAGGGGAAGGTGCCTGGAAGGGTTTGGGAGCTGATGTTTGGGAACAGGGACTCTTCTCCTGCATCCCTGGAAGCCAGGTTGGTTTTAGGCCCCCCTCCCCCCCCAGGAAACACAGGCCAGGAGTTTGTGGCTGGAGGGGGACTGGGTTTGTAGGAGGGTCTCTTGGCTCCATGTGGCCTTTGACCACAGCCCTCAGGGGCTGAGGTTTGCCAGCCCCATCCCCACCCGTGACCCCCCCAAGGCCTCCCCAGAGCTCCGAACGTGGGCAAACTGGGATGCCCCCTCTGCACCTGGCCCTGGGCACTGCAAGGAGCTCTTCCCCAGTTTTGTATTTCCCAGGAACTGAATACAAAAATCCACAAAGTCAATGCCAGAAGAGTTTTATTTAGCAGTCCTTTGCCCTGCTGAACCCAGAAATGACCAGGAGCCCTCTTCTGCCTCCTGTGCCTGTCCCCACTGCACGTGGGGACACTGCCCAGCTCTTCCCAAGGCTTAACCACGTGGGAAATGAAGATGAGGGGGGGAAAGAATAAGAATTGGAGGCTCTGCTGCCTACCTGGGCTCCCAGCATGGTGTGAGCTCCAATGGGCTGGGCCCCTTGGCCACACAGCTGGGCCACTGGGCCACGTGGCCCCTGTCCCCCCCAGGTGCTGGAGGGACAAGCAGAGCATCTGCAGCCTGGGGAGGGTGGTGGAGCTCACGGGGTGGGTGGCCAAGCATGGACCCCCTCCTGTGAGCCGGGCATGACCCCTCCTCTGCTCTCAGGGCGCGCGCAGCTCGTGACGGGCACGTGGTGGTGGCGGTGCTTCTCTTCTCCGTAGCCCACAGTACACTCATCCATAAAGTAGGAAACACTACACCCTGCAGTGCTGTTTAGTAGTGCTTTCTACTTTATGGGTGACTGCACTGTCTCTCAGCCGCTGTCCGGTGGCCGCTCT